CCTTGCCTACAATCATGCTGGTTCATCTGTATTTTAATCTCATTAGAAAAATAGATTTAACACTGAAATGAGGCGTTGGCTATACCACTGTTCTCCACTGCAGGCCACCTACACCAGTGCTAGTGTTTCCTACCCGCAGTTACTGCACAGCCTGCTTTGCAGAGGGTGCTCACAATCAGGAGAGATTTAAGAGAGCTGCTCGGAGCTATGACTTTGCAAAAATGAAATCTTCTGGTGTCCACTCCTTAAATTTTTAAAGATAGACAAGCCATTGATGTGCCTTTTCTGCAAAGTGATGACTATGTTTGATGGAGGCCTTAAGAATTCCTTGGATTACTTTCAGCTGGGCTCTGACAACCTTCAGCCTCTGCTAGAATCCCAGCGCATTTAGGCTTTGTTCCTGCAAGCACCAGTCCTTTCTTAAAAACAGGTTCAGTTTCCCTTGCAGCAGGGCAGAACGCTCTAGCATCAATGATCTAGTTTTATTCTGGTCTGTCATCTGCCATTTTGTCTCCATAAGAAAGAAAGAAGTCACAGGAACAATTTCTTAGTTTTCTGATTCTGCCCAGGAAACCTCCGTTTGGACAAAATTAAATACCGGTAAAACATAAGATGAGTCTAATGAAAGTAAAAGGAAAAAAGAAAAATCACCAAACAGAAAACCTCAGCCATAACAGCAGGCTCTAACATAAATAAGCTTAAAATACATTTGAAATGAAAATTCACTACGCTTAATAGAACAGAAAGGATTCGCCTCGAAGTTTCACAATTCTTATCAGTTCTTCCCTCCACACACATTAGCCTCTCGACTAAAATAAATTAAAATGTTCATTTAACACCCACTCTGCAATTCTGGATCTTTCAAAAAGTTACACTCCTAATCTAAAGTCTGGCTTTAAGCCATGAAGTAGCTAGTCCTTTTAGTCATTTCTTTAAAACGGATGAATAATCAGCATTTGCTTTGGCCTATAAAAAGCAAGAAATATTTGAAACACTGCCCCAATCACTGTTAAGACAACTAAGTCAAGCCCAACAGTAATTTTAATTCAAGTGTTAGTAAATTATTCATCTAATTAGCAGCATCAAGTTGTGACTTACTGAATATATGAGAATTTTGTTAAATAAAAAATACAGTTGCATTTTACTGCAGGACAAAGATAACAGTAATTAAAGAACAAGTATACGTTCAAAGCTTATTTGTTATTTGACATAGGTACCTGAACTGACTGGAGCAATCTATTTGCCACTGCAAAAATCACCACCAATTTCCTTTTCAATGAAGCTACGAACTTGCACCATTCAAAAATGAAAAGAAGAAACAAAGAGAGGAAATGAACTTCCAGTGTGTTTTTTTTTCTAATGATTAAGAGCTAGATCTGGAAAAAAGGTAACATCAGAAATGGACATAAGAGATCTTTGCCTTTATTTCTATTTACATTTATCGTTTCTTAATCACAAAGCAGAAGTAGCAACAGCATTGCCACTTAGAGAGAGAGAAGGAAGGAAGAAGAAGAAAGGAAAGGGAAGCTGGCAAGAGCAAGGCACTTAAGAGTCTTTCAACAATTAACATTGCAATCTCACAGAAGATCAAACATTTACAAGCATCCCCTCAACCACGTGGCACTAAAAATTGAAATAAGATACATCTTACAGGTCAAGGCTATTTTATTGCAGAGACTGGCACCATAGGGTGCAAAAAAAAGGTCATTTTCCCATCAGTTCATTCCCCAAGTTCATGATGGCTTTGCTCCTTTTTAGAAATCCTAGGAACTTTGGGCCTGCCAGTACAACATCCTCTACAAACAGTTTTACATTGCAAAAACAGATGGAAACCCTCATGCACATAATTCTTCTGTGAAGGTAAGTTAAAACAGATTAAAACGATCTTTTAAAATTTGGCTGAAGAGAATAAGTAACCACCAAGATGCAGCTGCTTTCGAGCATTAATAATTGCAGTCAGAGCATCTTCCTCAAGCTGTACACTATACACTAGTAGGCATCAAATCTTGTCTCTATTGCTCTATTCAACCTGGAGCTCTACACAGAGCTCAACACTGGGCCTAGCACCACATGCCCTGTGCTTTCAAATACAAATGAAGAAAACTTCAAGTTATAGATGCAGTGAGAACTGCTTCCAGACACGGTTTCGGGGTTCTTTTGCCTCTTCCCTTACCCTTGTTCTCTCTGAAGGATGAAACGGCCTGGATGCAATATGGGTTATTGATATGCAAAGAGAATAAGGTTCTCAAGACAGTTTCATCTGCTGCCCCAGAGAAATTCTATTTCAAAGACTAGCACGTAACTTCTCTGGAGGCCTGAAGCCATTAAACAAGGTACATAAGACAGCACTAGTTCTGCATTGTGTATTCCATGTTTGAAGTTATGTACATTATTTTACCAATGATGTGAAATTCCCTTCTGCATTATGTACTAAGTCTGCCTTCAAATAACTCAGAATATCAAGATATATGGACTCAAGGCTTAAGGCATATATTTTCAGTATATATATAAAAAAAAAAACCCTAGCCCAACTTAGCAAAACAGTTAAGTCTCTAGCCTATTTCCTGGTTCTTGAAACCCTCCTGTCCTTGCATAATCTGGACTATTCTTCATAAGGGTAGATTCAACCTTAATTCTTTACTTCATAACACTATAGAACTAGTAAATCAATACAGGAATTTTGGTAAAACCTGCTAGTGCACCTCCCTCAAAATTAAAAATTCATGGCAGCCATGAGTTGTTTGACAAAGTCATGTCATTCCTTCATTAAATAGCCACTCTCACCTGAAAGACCAGTCACAAAATTAACAGTTAAAATGGGTTCAGATCACATCTACTCCTACTTGCAATTTGGACAATTAAAACAACTACCTCCATCGCTTGGCAGGAGATAGAATAATATCTTGCTGTGGCCACCAACAATGTTTGTGCATTAATTAAATAATTAAAGTTATATATATCAAAGCAGGTCATCAACATAATTTTGAACGTTCATATTTTAGTGAAGATCAAATCTAAGTTCCTTATCAAGCCATGGCCTAAAAATAACTTACCTAATTGACTCGGGGCACACTTTACAAGGAAAGAAGGAGAAAAAAATAGGAAAAAAATAACAGCAGTTTCAATCAACCACTTGCAGTATTTTGTAATGCTGGTAAAAATAAAGGCATGCAGAACAGCAGATATATTTCTTTAAAAAGCTGTGTTGAACGAGTAATGAAAAACCTTTAGAAAAAAAGCTGTTAGTAGTATGACTAACAGCAGGCACACTCCACCCAACACATCCACCCTTGCTAAATCCAAATACTCCAGATGACAAGCAACCTTTCCACAGTGCTTGCCAGCAGTTTCAGCTTAGCTGCCTTCCTAGAATCAAAAAAAGCATCTTTGAGATTCAACATAAAAACCACACAACACACACCTAAAAGCAGTTTCTTTGGTATTATATGAAGTTATAATTCCAAGAGGCAGGACTTAAACATCTTGTGGCCGAGCTTTAGGAAACCGATCCTTCGCAGTGCCTGCCCATTGTGAGTTCCAGTCTCCCTGGTGCTGACTCATGGATCGCAGGAGTAGGAAAGGAAAAAAGGGGAATGAAGCACAACTGCATGTGGCACATGCAAAAATACAAAGGCTTGCAGCAGACACTGACATCTCTCCCCTCAAAGGGATGCTTATCTTGGTCAGAAGGACACAAGAAAAGCATTTCTGTCCGCAGGTTACCATCTTGCTATTTCCTGCAATCTTACAGGGGAGAAATAAAGCAGAGTGGTGCCCATCAGGCCATAGCCAACAACAGCAAAAGAAAAAAGCTTCTTTATCTACATAAAATATTTGCATTAGGGTCACTAAACATCTACTGTCCACCATTTGATGCAACTGGCATCATTTCAATAGACCTGCATGAAACAGTTTGGTACCTGTATTATTCCATTTCAAACATGCTCAATCTCCTTCTGGGAGGAAGAAGCTCCTTGCTAAGATGGCACATCAGTACAAGATTTGGTCCACAACCTCCTCTTAAAAACTACATTTGGTAGTAAGAAGGCAACTTTTGTAAGTATAAATAACTATCTTTATCTATAGATAAGATATTAGCTCCCAAACTGAACAGCAAACAAAGGAGGTCAAGGTAAGTGACAGAACTACAGCAAAAAAATCACAGGAAAAAAAAAAAACCCAAACACTCTTGTAATGAGAAAGAAGAATCAAACATCCAAAACAAGTATCACTTACAAAAGTACCTTTTTTTTTTCCCCCCTCTAACCTGTATCTATAATCACAGAAACAGCTTCTTTAAAAGACATGGACTCTTTCCATGAGAACTCATGAACCGAGCTGATTCATTAAACTGATAAATTCCCAACTATTTTTGAAGCCAAGATAACTCGTTTTGACTTATACAGAAAACAATTCCAGATAGCAGTCCAGAGTATTTTGTACTTTCAGCACAATCAAGAAGCACTCCCTGGTATATGAGCCAGAATCAAGAAGCAGATTCAGTTACTTCCAAATAGGCCAGATTTAAAATCTGGTCTCCCAACCCAATTCGTAACTCATTTACCTCAAAAAATAAGTATTTCCTTATAGAGCCGATTTTTCTTGTTTTGACAATGCTAACATGCATACAGCTAAAAAAAAACAAAAAGGTGTAATAAGTCACTGAAGATGGCTTGCCATTCGTTTTTTAGTGCATTGCACATGCGCAGCTTCTTGCAGCCAGGACTAAGCATGTAGAACAGGGCAAGACACATTCATCCTCCACCACAGTGCAGTATAATTTCACAGTCAATAGCACCTGGAATTCTGCTTATGGAGCAAATTCTTTATTTCTGGGCTCCTTGGCCTACTCAGGTGTGTTACATCACTCTTTAATCTTTAGCCTCACCTTATGCAAAATCTACCGTAACTTGACTGTAAAGACGCACTGAAGAGCCAACCAAAGAGTCAACTTGACCAAGAGAGGAAAAACAAATAAAAAAAGGAGATCCCCCACTCACCAGCACCGTGGTGCAGATAGACCTGAGCTCCGACTCCACCTTCTCCCGATAGTCCTTGATAAGCTGCATCTTCTTGTCGCTGGTGTCCGTCTTCTGCTCGATGCTGGAGATGACCCTCCAGGCCGAGCGCCGCCCCCCCACCACGTTCTTGTAGGCCACGGAGAGCAGGTTGCGCTCCTCGTTGGACAGCTCAGCGCCCTGCTCCGTTACCGCCTTCATGCAGGTGGCCATATCGTCGTAGCGCTCGGCTTGCTCGGCCAGCTTGGCTTTCTGGATCAACTCGGTCTTATCCATGGTGGCTGGCAGAGGGGTGGGAGAGGAGGAGAAGCGGGAGAAGCCGGGGGTGTCACGCTGTCAGCAGGAGAACGCCCTCAAAACCTGCTGGGAAGAAGAGGGTAACCATGACTCTAGCACGAAAAGATGCAGAATCTGACCCTGTGCAGCTCCTCTGAGCCAGAACTGTACGGAGTCTTGTCTTCTTTTCCCCATCTCCAGGAACGTGTCCTGGATCCAAGGCCTGGCAGCTTCCTGTGCTTCCACACAGAGCAAGGGGCAGAGGCACCAGCCTCAAGGGGCTGCCCCCGGGGAAAGGCCAGCCTAGAAGGCGAGCAGGGGACGGCACCCTCAGCTCTACCAGACGGCAGCAGCCTGCAGAGCAAGTGCTGCAAGGAGCTGCCTTTTTGTCCTCACGCTGCCTTCTTCCCTCGCCCCAAGGGAGGATATTACCAGGCTGCCCAAGGCGGGCCCGCAGAAAGGCGGCCGGCCACGCCAAGCCGCTGCTCAGCGCCCGACGGGCCCCGCAGGTGGGCGCCGCGGAAGGGCAGGGCGCGCCGGGGACAGCGAGCGGCAAATAAACAACCAACCGCGCTAAGCTCGGCCCCCGGGACGGCTTAAAAATGACCCGGGAGCCGCGCGGGAGGGCGC